AGAAGTACAGACGTGTGCATCTCCCCAGTATAAGGAAAGCCAGTGAAATCGTTTCACTAACAAGTCGGCCTATTGACACTCATACGTTGACAGCATCAATAATGATTACTTTTACCATCACGTTTTCTCTTTCCTTCTCAAGTTTGTATAACTCTTCGGCCATAGCTCGTCTAGTATCCCTGAAATTGGAAAAAAACAAACAAAAAAACAGAGACGTGTTCGGTTTCGAGGATACAAATTTCCTGGAGTATAGCGAGAAGACTTCAAGAGAAGAAAAAAGTTTAAAGACTACAATTCAGTTGAAATTGCCGAATAACTTTTAAAATGAGGCCAAAACTAGAAATATCACTCCATTGAAATCTTGTGCTCACAATCATATCGTTGATCATTTGACGAAAAAAACTCAGCAAACGAGTTGTTATTATTGTCTGTGACTGTGTGCAAACCAACCATCAATTTCTTTAAGTAATTACTCATTTGTATTATTCATTTATTACTTACGCACGGAATGCCGATATGTTGGCAATTTTCTTATTTTGAGCACCCAGATCTATCTCTAATTTCTGAATTACAGAGCAAAAGTTTAAAAAAAATTATTAGTAATTCAAATAGTTTCAATCTTGATCCAGAAATACTGTTGCATCCAAAATCAAAAAATGTTCATATGAGGCTTATATGGAAAATGACAAGGTATGTTTTTACCCTATTCTCTTCCTCCAAAACGGAGAGAAGTTTTTCAAGTTCCTCTTTACTCTGATGGGGATCTAATATATAAAAAGGCAGCGACAAAAATATTATTAATACATCTATATTATTCACATAAAAACTCGCTATTCGTTGGTGTTACATCTTCAAGGGAACTTTTTATATCCTTACGATTCAGTTTAGTTAAAATTTCGGAGTCTGTAAAAGAATAGTGTTTATGGCTCACAGAAAAAATAGTAGATATCCAATTTCAAGTTTGTTGTCGCATCCGCCGAAAAGCTATGTGATCTGCTGTCCATGGTGAATCTATGTCGCTATCGGTAAAGACCGTTGTTTCATAATACCGACAGACATATTTTTTTAATTGAACCACATGTCTAAATTACTATTTCCTTCGTTTGACTTCCATAACCTTCGGCGTAACTTCAACAAAAACTCAAAAATTAGTATTAAAAAAACGAGGCAAATCTAACTGTTAGCACCAGCTGGGTGGATAACGCCATCCACTAAAAAAATCTCTATCCGACAGCAGCGCATTACGTTTCGTTCACACTTATCCACTGGATCGCAATTGATTGGGTAGCGTTATCCAACCTTCGAAAAGCTCGAGCCTAAACTTCGCGATTCGACCATGTAAGGAACAGAAAAAAATCGCTAGTTGCAAGAGACCGAGAGAAACTGGTGCACGATACGTAAGTTAGCGTAGGAATATCACGCGCGCGCAAACAGGCGCACGCGCGTGAACCGTTTGTTTTGTAAACAGCCACAGATACAAGAAAAATAGCAGGAATAATTTTTAGACAAATTGAACCCGGAAAATCACTATTCCCTCAGCAGCAACGGAAAAAAAAAACAAAACCTTCACAAGCTACATACTTAGTTTAAGTCTATTCAATTGGTTTAACTTTGCAAGCAATTCTACGAGAGGATATCCCTGTTTTCCCTCATGTTTCTCTGTAAAAGTTGAATTGTTGTTGCGCCTCACTTTTCTTTTAAACCATTTCCAATTTCATATAGCAATCAGTATTAATACAGTTATTTTTGGAATATTGACCTAAACCCTGTGAATAGCCTTTCGGGATTCCACCCACACCTACGAACTTAGCATTGTTTGGAAGATACTTACATTCCGCAGCCTACTGACTCGGCTTTTATAACCTTCCTCGATTGCAATTTAAGATCTCGATACATACAACTAGAGTTGTTCATCGTGAACATTCAGAGGAGAAACTTTTAACTTACCGGCATTTTGAGATGCCATGGCCATTGCGCAACGTTTGTGACACCTTTTCTCTTTTGAAATTAACAGACGTGCGACTCAAGTAGAGTGCTGTCACATATAGCTGACGTCACAAAAGCTTACATTGACTTGTCGCGCGCGCTTATCTCTTCCAGCAGAAATTGCAATAGCAATTCTAATTTTGGATTATCGACGTTTGGCTTTTGTCCAAATATGGGTTTATAAGGTCATATTCATTTTTTTCGTGAGAAATCTCTTGGATCATTCAAATAGAGACAGAGTATTAGCAAACATGCGCTTCTCTCGATCACATCCTTTGCTTGTGTACCAGCAGAGATGTTAAAAATAGCGACTTTATCGCGGGCGATTTTCTGGTAATTCTGCCAGGTGTTTGATGTACCTTCGTTAGGATGATGAATTCAAGGGTCTGTTGCTAAATTCGACTCGTAACACAAAAGTGATTTACTATTATTTTCATATTGATTTAGATCACTCATCTGTACATGCATCAGACATGAAAAAAAATTTTTTTTTTCCGCACTGAAGACTTGCAGTAAGTCCAGTAAGTGTAAATGTTTAATGGTTTATGTCATACGCGGTGTATCTGTGTGGTATTATGAAGATAAGCTTTGACAGAATTAATAGTTCTCCAGCTTCTTGAAGTAACATGATCATTTTTAAAAGCTGTTACAAGAGACACAAATCATAACTTCATTGATCAAACAAATCCATGCCAAATTAATATTTTCCTTCTTCTGGTTGTCTGTTTCGATTTCCTTGGTTTTAGCCGGATGTTTCACGACACTGATTTAAAATGAAGACGGGGTTTGACGACCGTTATAGTATATTAATATTAAAAAGACATGCAATTCACTTTTTTGTATGTGTGTAACCCAGGAACAGTAGCATAGAATCTTATCTTTGAATAACTGAAAAAGAAATTGCAAAAAGATTTTGAGTTGCACGAGAAATTTCCCTACTTTTTCTTCTAGTTAATCGTTTGCTGTGATTTAATTTACACGCTTTCAAATAATTATAAATACAAATGAATCGGATGAGCAGACTAAGTAACTTTGCTGTTGAGGTTATTGCTATAACGTGAACAAGCCTACAACAAGTACACGATATGAGTAACATGAAAAATTATTGCCTTGGCTATTTACAAGGAAATTGGCCTTACCCTTAGTTCTTTTTATAGGAACCGTCAATGAATTCAGCTTCTGATTGTGCGTTGAATTCCCGCAACTACAATGCAATTGCGTCAAGTTCATTTTAGGGACGGTTATCGTTGACTTAGTTTCAACGGAAATTTAAGCCATATCCAATAATAATAAGTTTGCATTTAGCTGACCTAGATATTAAAAACTAAAAAATTTAAAGTCGTTAGAGTGTCAGGTGTATAGCCTTCCAAATGCTAATAAATTTCCATTTGACTTTTCTATTTTTCGTTTATCCTTTGTCCTACATTACAAAGTTATTGCATGAAGGTGTATTTCAACGGACATATATTTTCCAAGAGTCTCCAGTTGACAGGTTATTGTTAGTATCATCATCACACTTCCAGTCGCCACCAATTATCCAGTGATAACTGTAGGTCACAAATGCTGCGTAGCTGTACAGACGATTCTCTCCAACACTATGGCTGACATGTCCCCACTTACCATGATATGCCCATGCCGCACAATTCTGAGCCAGTCTTGAGTTATCGCCATCCATACGGACGAAGGAGTCACACGAGTCTGGCATCTCATCTCTTTCGCCGCTGAAATATCGCACCACTTCTGCACCTTTGTTGTTCAGAGTCGTTCTGACGTGGAATGTTGTTCCTTTTCTTTTGCTACAGTGAAATCTTATTTGGGTGAAGTTTATGTACGCTCTTAGTTGGTTCATAGCGCTTTTGGTTATAGCCATTTTGCCGTTTCCATAGTTAC